CTTGAGCACTGCCAAGGTGCATCAATTTAAAGCGGGTATAATAAGCTAGGAAAATGCATGCAGCCAAATAAACTGAACAGTAGCTCTTAAGAGATAATTGGTTAAATTTCTGATCATCTGACCACACATTTGTAAACAATCTTTTTGAAGTAGTCATGGCACACCAGCTGCAAACTATCCTCTACATAATAGCTCACTATCACAGAGCACTCATCTGTGAAATGAATGATCAATATCAGCTTCCGTCCTTGTCTCAAGGGATGCTAACTGTGGCAAATAGAAATGTACTGCTTACAGGGGTAGAAATGATTGTCAGAAAAAAATTTGCACCTTATGAAGCACAGAAATCTTAAAGATTCTAAGGATCATACAGCCCTTTAATATACGGAAATATTAATTTGTTGAATATATATATATTTGTTCTATATTAGTGTGTAAAAGCAGAACGATATAGTCATATCTAATACAAATTATGCAGCATTTCATTGCTCATTAGTGATGAGGAAATTTTTAACAGCATTTACTAAAATCAGCAGAGCACAAAAATATTCTAGGCTACTCCTCCATAATTGGCTTTTTAAACATTTCTCTTTTTAATTTGCTGTCTCTGGATCCCATTCTGAAGGAATGGGACACAATATCAGTGGGTCCTTACCCCAGACCTACATGTCACGGAGTCTGGGCTCAGAAGTTGTTGATTGTCAGACACTAAAGGATTCTATTATATCTGTGGCCACAGAGGTGAATATGCAAAGTACATCCATCTGTGGGGCAGGTTTACAGAATGGTTGAAGTTGGAAAGCACCTCTGGAGGTCATCTCAAGCAAAGGCACCTAGAAAAGCTTGCCCAGGACTGTGTCTAGATGAAAGTTAATTTTACTGCTACGAATAACAAAAGATCAGTATCTTGGGAAAAATAATATCAGATACTAAAATTTAAATGCAAAAGAAATGCATACAATTCCTTGTGATAGGAAATATTTTTACTCCATTTTGGTAAAGAAGGGATTAAACTATTCTGTAACAAAAAGATGAAGCATCCAGTGACTGCAACTCCAGTAATCTGTAAGCATGGTGCATCAGCTGGGTTAAAAACGTGGTTTACTAACAAGCTAAGACATCAGAGTGGCCTTGTTAATTATGAGAGCCATTTCTTCACTTAGACCTCTTGCACTTCTAGTATTCACAAAAAGCACACAGAGGTGCAGAGAAGAAACCTGACTCAGAATGACTAAGGTTGGAAGGAACCGCTAGAAGTCATCTGGATCAATGTCACTTATCTAATCTGGGGTACAGAGAAAATGACTGCAGTCAGAGGGTAACCCCAGCTCTTTGTATACCTGAAACCTGGAAATGCCTGAGAGCTCAGCTCTGAGGTTCCCACCATATCTGAGAGCTCTGAATCCAGCTTCTACCCCAGCTGTTCCAGGGCCACCCTTTCCACTGTGGCCGTCAGCCACAGTGCCTTCCTGCCTTCCACTCCCTGAAACTCTCTGGTGAAGGTTATTTCACTGGTGGAGAAACCTGAGAATGTTTCTTACTCTATTTGCAAATACAAATAAACACAAAATGATCAAGATATTAGAATTTAAAGTCTTAAAATTCTGCTATTCTCAAAGCCATAACTTCTGGAACCATGAACTTTGTAAGGAATTTAATTGTTGTGAGAACGATAATAAAAAATAACCTCTAGTCCCTACTGTTTGTACTTTCCACATATTTAATGCTGGCTAACACAATTTAGATTATAATCAGCATAAATGTGATTTTTACCCTAAAACATAGATTTTAAGAAGCATTTTGTGGTCTTCCTTTTTATTATGTTGCAAAAAATTGAATAAATAAATGAATAAATAATAATTAAAATATATATATATATATTACACAGAGGAGTTAAGTTTCAAAACTCCAATCCCCTTTGCTCTTTTGGCATATCAAACAACAGAGTACAATCTCTAGTTGACATTAGTAAGGTCTCCTCACATCCCCAGAAGCCAACATTCTGCATAAAAGACAAAAGATCCAGCAAAGTCAGTTTCAAAATTAATCTTATTCACCAGGTAGCAAAGCCCTGAGTGTGGCTCCCACGCAGACTGCAAGCCATTTGTGAAATGAAAGCAGCAGACAGTAAATGAAGCAGCTCGGCTTTAGCAGCTTGTCAGTCACTGAACAACTGAAGGCTGCAGACATCCTGGGTTAAATCATACATTTAAATGCCACTTGGAGGGATCCCAAAACACCACCTGAGGCTGAGCTGCTTCTGACTTAGAAATGTATTCACATTTGGAAGAACCAGTATAAACTGGCAACTGTTTTCTACCTCTAAATTTGAGGTGAAACCTTAAAAATAAATATTTCAATGCTGTTTTTTGGCAAGATCAAAAACTAATTAATCCAAACGAAACTGAAGGCATTTGTTCATTATAACCTTGCATAAGTTAAGGAAATGTTTATTCTCTTTTTTCTTTCTTCTGCCCTATTCCACAACTGTTTTTTTTTCTGTTATGATTGTTGTGTACTTGCTTTAAAATTCATTCCCATTCCAACTTACAGATATGGTATGAAAATGTCCTTTCATCTTACTGACACAAACAATCAATGTAATTTCTAAGGGTGATACTTCACTTAAGTTTACAAAATTCATAAGCAATGTGAAAACTCATTTAAATAGTTTATAACATCCTTGATTTGGTATAAATAAAACTGTTAGGTTCTACTGCTTCCAGTCCTGTAATGCAATTCTGATATTCACTGCTGCAATAAATTAGGCCTTATAAACAACAATACATCATAAAACAAATTCAAGAGATGTTGTAAATAGGGAACAAAATGGAAATTATCTCGTGCAGGCTTTTTCAGTGTAAACCCCTTGACGCATGCTGTAACCAGCCAGTTAATAATTGCTTTGTAAATTCTTGTAAATCTGAAATGAAGCAGAGGGGATAAAGCCAACAAACAAATCATAAAGTATAATTGTTACTTGTTTGGAGTGATTATTGCCACTGCCAGCAAGGTTCCAGATCTCATAACAAAGAATTTGTTGGGTTTTTTTATTTCCTCCATTTCAGCTGTTTTATTGGTGATGGAGAATACATACAACCCTTATCAATAAATAATGTGTCACACAAAAGATACGCTTGGTCAGTTTCTGAATATTTTAAATATTTTAATATTTGAAGCAGTAATACACCGTAAATTTTAATACTTCTCTCTTTGGAGTACTCTCTCCCCCTTTTTCACTCAGAATGGATTTTCTCAGGCTGGGCAGAATATGTGATAGATGATAAAAATCAAGAGCACACAGAAATGGAGACTATGACTGTAATACTGTAACGCAGCGGTTCCTTTTCAGAACGAAGAAGACATATGAAGCTATCTTTTTAAAAAGAAACCATCTATAGAAACAAAGCTTGGCGAGATCATGAACTGGAAATAGGTTTATCCAAAGGACAAATGCTGGCAGTCTTTATCATCAGCACTGCTGCCATTTTTAGCTATAACATTCCACATTTTTTAGGAATCTCACCATTAATTTGATGCTGAAATACAATTCCATGCTATGTTGTCAGTGTTATAACAATGATCTTATTTTGTACTGCAGGTTCAACAGCCTCAGAAATCATCAATTTCTTCTTTCTTGTCTCATGGCTTTCTCCCATATAAGAACATATAAAATAGTATTTTATGATCTGTGTTTGGTTTATTGTTTGTTTGCTTGTTTTTTAATCAGGAAATATAAAATGGCATAGAATGGGAGAATCTGTAAGATAAAGTCAACTGTTTTAAAACAGGTTCTTTGCTGTCCCTCACTTGGTGCCAATCAATCATGCTATTTAAAACAAATATTAATCTTATTTGTAATGATTTAAGTTACTTATCTTGTACTCCTACAAATGTATAATTGCTTTAAAAATTTTGAAGTTTAAAATGCTGTACTTAAGTATAGCAGATGTATTTTATTTTCTTCACATCCAGAACCTCCAGCGAGAACCAAATAAAACATTTAATTTCTGCCATGCAAATAGATGTATGCCTCATCTGAATACCTCTGATCTTGGCGTCATATCACATAGAAAAACACATTAATTGAATCCTGTTATTATTAAGAGATATGAACATTTATTGCAATTCATTTCTACAAATAGAAATAAGCTCCTATTTCATTTTCTTAACAAATGCAAGTTCTGAACATGCTTAAAGCACTTAGCAGTCTCAGTATAGACTGCAGACAATAACTCAATATACTGTACAAAAGTATTATATATATAACATGTACTTTATATATATATATTGTATAGAAGATATAAATATTTACGTAGTACTTAATACTTAGTGTGTATATATTTAAAGTCTACAACAATTTTAAGTACAAAATTGTCACACACTACTGTATAAATGTAGAGAAAATCCATTTCAGGGAGCTTGAAGAAAAATCAGCCAGTAAATATTTCAGAAAATGATGCGTTTAGTTTAAATAATATTGAAAAGGTACTAAAGAAGTGGCTTTAGTGACTGCTTGAGCACTTCCCTAGCTGATGGAGGATTGCTAAATTGTGATCTGAGTCAAGACTAACTGTCTGAACAGAAAAATCAGTGTAAAATCTGAGGAATGTTTTGCTCATGTTTTCTCCAGACAAAAATCATTGATTACTTTAGATAAGTCGTTACCTTATGACATATCTAAATCTTTTATAGATGTAAACATTCAAAAATCTTGAAAATTTACTTGCATGCTAATGATTAATGACTGTAACCAGAAAAAAACAGTCCACTCTCTCCTCAAAAACCAAAAAAAACCCCAGGATAAATTAACATTAAAACAATAAGAAAAGATATTATAGGGTCAACTACGACAATTAATGGCCTGTTTAGCATCTCCTTTATCTGAATCTTCGACAGACCATTTAATTTTTTTCTAGAGCTGAAGGCATTTAAAGAAGGCACAAATTTAATGTAGTGAAACCATGAACAGTCACAGAAGAATACTGTGAGACACTTACAGGAACGAGGAATTTTTTTATTTCTTCCAAGGCATGACTCATACGAGAATATGCTTCCCCAGGTGGAGCAAACACTTCAATTAATACATGAAGCTCATCACTCAAGTGCGCATATTTAGCTTCTCCACTTTTCCTCAGTTCTTCCTCCTATGAAAAAGAGTGGTTTCTTTAGAACTGGGAATCCACTGATTTTGCATTGGTTTAGCTTTTACAGAGAACATGACGAAAAAAACATAATGCAAACAGACTTTTAGTACAATCCATTTAAAGATTTAAAAATCATTTTTGAGTGCTTGAATGGTAAAACCAGTGTAATTATCAATTTAATCAGCACAGTGAGAAAATGCTAAATACTCTAAAACTGAGTAATGAAAAATTAACTCCATAAATGCAAAAGATGATACCTGTAGACTGTACATATTAGTATTGCTAAATTAAAGACTGCTCTGGCTTTATCTGAGACATGAGGTCTGAGTTTCTGTTCCAGTTCTGATATTTGGTAACTATGCAGTCCTGTGTACAATGGTTAAGATGATGGTTCATCTCACTTAGATTTATTTTGACAGTCTTTGGTCTCAGTTTTCTATCAATTAAATGAGGCTAAGAATCCAAATTTACGTCAGAGCAATATTCTGAAACATCACCCCACTGTTTTATACAAGGCTTTGAAATAGAGAATGTGAACTGTTATGCACATTAATAGTAGCTACCCTACAAAAAGCAAAGTGTAAAATAGTGATCAAGTTAATGTAATTGTCTGTGACAACAGAATGCAAAATTTATCATTACTATACAAAATAGCAATAAGAAATGCTGAAAATCTGATGAGTTTAAACCTCAATTTTCAAAAATACTGTAAGAACGGTAACTTTGAAGAAAGTACATTTGTATATTTTCATTTTACAGATGGAAAACCTAATCAGAGAAAACAAGTAAATTAATTTGCTTAAGATTGGGTTAGAAGTTAGAGCTTCTTAGTATATACTCGGATTATTCTTTCGCAGCATGAAGATATCTAAGACGTAAAAACTGTAAGAACAACCGCTGATGTGTTATTTATTGATAACAAAGTCAACAAACTTCATTAAAATATAAATCACAGCTATTATTTTTCAAACACAGGCAAAAATAATATTTATGTGATTATTTTGACATCAGTAACATGATTTTATAATCTACACTTCTCTCACAGGAAGATATGCATATGCTTGCACTGTTGAAACGACAGCAATGACATTCTTCTCTTCTCCATAAACTCACAGATTCTGAAAAGGCATCATTTTATAACCTTCCTAGGTTCAATGTATGCTTTCCGTTACAGCTCAGCAGGTATCTCTGCAGGTGTTAGAGACAGCAAAATCACACACACACACACACAGAATTGTAGGGGTTGGAAGGGACCTCCAGAGATCATCGAGTCCAACCCCCCTGCCAAAGCAGGTTCCCTACACCAGGTCGCACAGGTAGGCATCCAGGCAGGTCTTGAACATCTCCAGAGAAGGAGACTCCACCACCTCCCTGGGCAGCCTGTTCCAGTGCTCCGTCACCTCACTGTAAAGAAGTTCTTGCTCACATTTGTGCAGAACTTCCTATGCTGCAGTTTCCGGCCATTTCCCCTTGTCCTGTCTCCACTCACCACTGAAAAGAGTCCGGCCTCGCCATTATGCCCCCCACACCTTAGATATTTATAGACCTATAGATATTCATAGACAGCATTTCTTCCTGAATATATCTAATGATGCTTTTTTCATCGAACTCATAAATAATGAATTTTCACTTCGTACCTCTTCCTGCAAGTGTGATATGTCAGAAAATATTTCTTTTACTGCAAGTGTTTGTTGTTAAAGTAGAGAAGCTCCTTCAGGAAAAATATCAAAGAGTAAGAACTCATAGTCTATGTAAGCACTGTATGAAGATTTGCTTCCCTGACCCAGTGAGGATGACTAAGCATGTGAGTTTTCCCAAAAGTAATGTAGCAGCTTAAACCTGCTCATGTAGAAGTGAACCAAACCGTGGTAAGAACAACACATGTTGAAAATGTGATGGAACCACTGTAGAGAACTATCTGAAAAAAAAACAAAATACAGTTAAGGTAGTAAGTGTTATTAGGCACTGAATGTTACAAAAAAAAAAAAAACTTCGGATCAAATCCGTTTTGGTATATAATAAGAATAAATTTAATAGATTTCCTGGGCTTCTGGATCAGTGTTGGCAATCTCTCCTAATACTGACCCTCATGTTAATAATATGCACCTTCTTTACTATCAGGTTATTATCTTTAATTATGCCCTGGTTCAGTGCAGCACCCTCCAGAAACCATTATCCACCAGATCCTAACATCATTCTCTCCCTCTGTGCACCAACTCCCTTCATATCTCAAAGTAATATATAGCATTATATTCCATGTCCCAAAACAGCTACTGTCACGAGCTGTGCTTCAGACTTTCTTTGTCCTCACATGGTTTTTGTCAGACACACCACCCTTAACCTGAGGCATGTTTTCATAACTCACTGCCTCATATAAGATAACAGATATTTTGAAACATCTGTGGTATTTCCTAAGTTAGAATCATAGAATCATAGAACCCTTAGAGTGGGAAGAGATCATCTACTCCAACCCCCCTGCAATGACACCACAGCTAGATTGTTGCCCAGGGCCTGATCCAGCCTCACCTTGAATGTCTCCAGGGATGGAGTATTAACATCTGTTACATGTTATCTGCAACCTGTGCCAGTGTCTCACCACCTTCACTGCGAAAGACTTTTACCAACCTAAATCTACCCTCTTTGATCTTGCAGCCATTTCCCCTTAAAGTTAACTTGAGGGAAATTAAGAAGTTCCCCTAAGTTATCTTAAGTTCCAGTTGACCAAAGCAGGGAAAATTAATTATAAAACTCCTCAGCAGAAATTAGACGAATACTGACCTCTGCAAAGGCAAAGCAGTAGCAATATAAAGGCCAAGAACAATGATCAATTATCTCTTGATGAGAAAACAGCCTTACAATTTTAGAAGTGTATGTTCTGACCCTGAGAGAGAATTTGTTTCTGACTGGAAGATGGACGAGTACACTTAATTAAAACAACTGGAAGGAGCAACTAGAATTTGTACAGTAAACAAAATTATGTGATCCAGATTGACAAATGAAAAGTAGGCTGATAAAACCAAAATGCCAGAATATTCAAGAATAAAAGGAAGATAAACAAAACAAAACAAAACTGAAGCAGGAACTGAGGAAAACACATAGATAAACTGCACAAATACAAGTGGATCTTATAGTGTAACAAATATAGCCATAAAAAGAAACAAAGTGCATTTGAAGAACAATAAGAGAATTGCACTGTATTTCCTATCTGACAAGAACTTGCAAATGAAAGCACAGAGCAGAAAACAGACAAAGCTGAAAATCACAGCACTGTTGCTGGAGAAGAGCTGTTCAGAAGATCAATGGACAATGCTGCAGAAGAAAATTAATGAGCATGAAGTTTCACAAAATGCAAACCAATTATTTTTAATCTGGACATAAATGCAGAACCTAAGATGTCTGTAATGCTGATGCTAGCAACAGTAATAACTGAGCTCTAGAGAAAGGAGTAAATCAGAACAGATATAATGCGTTTTGGAGTTCAAAATCATTCAGATCCTAGGTCCTAAAGAGAAGAATGCAGAGAAAAATACTGAGGAAAAATCGGAGATTAGAAAGGAATTTGAGAATAGGGAAAGGATTCAGCAGAGTATAAAGTGAAGCTAAATGCTCAGCCATCCCTTGAGTATCATTTTTAGAGAAGTAATTTTCAGTCCAGGTCAAGGAATGAAGACAATGGATATAGTCAGGACATGAGAGTTTGCACAGCAGAGCTAAGAGAGTAGATGTACTCCTGTCATATTACAGAATCTGCAGGCACAGACACCCTGTAAGTAAATACAGGTGTATAAAAAAGAACACTGCTTATAATAGAGGAATTTTTGAACATATATGCAGAGATTTGTGCACATTGTGTTAGTTCCCAATATATTTCTTAATGAAATAAAACATCTCAATGATAAAGAGGTGCTAACTTGTATGTAGATCATATTGTTTTTAGTTAGTTGATGGGGAAATCATAGATAGATCAGTAGAAGAACGGGATGACAAAATGTCCACCGACATGGGAAAAGCCAGAACATCTGAACAAAAATTGTTCGTAAATCTGTGCAAAGGAAATAAACTTGTAGAAGAGAAGTTAACACATTTAAGTGGTGTGCACCAAAAAGGAGATCACAAGTAGTCGCTATCATGACCAACAAGATATAATCTACATAAAGAATGTGCCAGAAAGCTCATAGTGGCAAGAGAGTTCACAAACCTACAGATACACCTATGCTTGCACAAAACTAATCGAGAGATGAAATAACTATAAAACTAAATTAGATAATGATGCTCAATGAATGCAACCAACGTATTTGAACAAAAAGTTTGAAAAGCCCATGCAGGAAATCAAGAGATCCAATAGAAATGCACAACTGCCATATTTAAAGAGGCTTCCTTTGAAGATTTTTATCTTAATAGTTCTGATCACAACTAGGGACCATTGTATTCAGGGTGGATTCAGATTCCAGAAGAAGTCTTGCTCTTAATGAGAGTACAAAATGTCATGTTTTTATTTATGCAAGGCTAATTACCAATTTGTGGCATGCAAGCTATAAAGTAGATTGAACTTCCACTACACTGTGAGCAAAAAAATATCTTATTTGCAATCTTTTTTTTTTCTTCATCGTAGTGGAGTGGTAAAAGTCTAATCAAAGAATTGTTAGTACTCCAGTTCCATACTAATTCTTACAGTTTAAAGTACGTGCAGGAAAAATGATGAATACACAAACTTTCTATTGCCTACTCTGTTCCCTGGTTAATGTTCCCCTATCCACTGCTCTTAGGTCCAAAGGCAGAGATATGGGTAGATGGTGGGGGGCATCAACGTGAGAAGAGAGGGCATAGATTTGTTAACACTGGTTGGAAGAAAATATTCTGTTTTCCTTTGCTATCATTCTCACTTTCCTGAGATCACTTATCTAGTTTTATAGCATTTTTCTACCTTTATTTATTTTATTGTTAAGAAGTGATTTTTTATAAATTTTAATCCTGTTTTTAGAGACAGAGAGGGTGAACAG